TTTTTTTTCACTGCACAATGCATTCACTGCACAATGCAATAAAAACACTGAGGATTGTGTGTTTGCATCTTCCAGAGGCTTTTTACTGGTATTAGATAAAGATTTATCTGACAATGAATCTATCACACGGGTCATCGGTGGGTCGCTGAGGGCCAGTAGAGATTAAGGAGGATTGATGGTATTCTGATGGATACTCTGCTCTGCTTTATTAGAGGTGAATGCAAATAGCGAGCAGGCTTCCCTTCTGGAGCAAAGCCAACGCTCATTCCCATGCACTCCACTTCTGGGGAGCTTTTGGGCATATTTATGGCTGCTGTAACTCTGGTTTATATGACGACTATGAAAATTATGTCAAGGTCGCATAGTGCGTCAGCTGTGGAAAGCATGCGGGGACTGTGTATGTGTGTGTGCATTGTATGAGAAGTGGCTCATGAATACTGGTGTGAAGGACGCAGGTCTCCTTGAATTTGGTCCTTGGCAGCATTGTTAACTTTTTGAGTTAGAAAATGTGTTAGATTGGGTTTCTTGCAACAAAACCATTTGTTCAGGTATGATTGGACATTGAAATAAATGAATATTTTGAAATGAATGAATGAGTATTGATTTACAAATATAACACCAACTGATCTTATCAAAGACCTGTTAGAACTCTTGGTTTCTTGCTTATTTTATGTTTAGTCTGCCTTATCGAATGAATACATACTGCATATTTTTGGTAATATAAAATATATCTCAAATGTATATGTGGATTTTATGTGTGGCTTTCTATAAAAAGTTAAACCTTTCAGCATACACAAGTACGTGTGTTGAGTTATTTTGAGGGGACAGCAAATGTACACTCTTATACAAGCTGTACACTCACTACTTTACATTGTAGCAAAGTGACATTTCTTCAGTGTTGTCACATGAAAAGATATAATAAAATATTTACAAAAATGTGAGGGGTGTACTCACTTCTGTGAGATACTGTATATGCACAAGGAAATAATAGCATCAAAGTTGTAATTCAACATAGGTTTTTAATTTGAAGTTTTTCATGAAATGTTGAAATTTTATTTTGTTTCAGCTTTATTTCGACAAATAAAAAGATTATAAATAATTTGTTTAACAATAACAATACTGGTGTGAAGGCATTTTAGTCCTTAATGTTTTAATTACAAACAAAACATAATGTTAAACAAAGTTAATTAATTTAATTCCATTTTTCAAATAATTCATATAATTATTCCATTAAATAAATACATTTTGCCATAATTTAATTAGTGACATTAATTGAGTGATAATGTTGAATGGGACTGTACTAATTTCAGATAACCATGTTCATTTTTCAGAGAGTGTCTAACCAAAACCCTTCTCTTGCTTTTCTTGCCTCTTCAGTGAACAGCCTGGCCCGGTCCAAGTATTGTTGACAGCCAATCAGGAAGAGGTCTGGGAGACCAATCAGGATTCTGTGCTTGGCCCACCCTCTCCTCAACACATGAAATCACCCTCCTCTTGTACAAACTCCCCATCTCAGCCTTCTAGCCACCCATCGCTCAATCCCCGGCCTGCCTCTTCTCAGCCACAGCCCCAAGAGCGTGATGAACACAACAATTGGACAACCCAGAATGAGGACGAATGGGGTGGCATCAGATTATCAGATGTTCTCCAAGCATCAGGCATTCGGATCATGCCCATACGCAAGCACCTTGCCATATCTCTGCCCTCTTTGCCCCTTGACTTCTGGGGTGTATTGGGAGAGGACGAAGAGGTCTCCAGCTGTCAGCACCCTCAATCTCCAAATCCTCCTTTGTGGCAGGGCACTGCAGATAGTCCAGACCAGATACCCCAATCCAGCAATCCCAGTCCACCACCCGCCCCTGTTGAGGAGAAGGGGCCAGTGCCCCGAAGAGCCCCCATATGGCAACCCCTGTGTGCATCTTCCCAGCCCTGCACCAAATTGACCCCTCCAGTTGCTGCCCGTCATTGGTCCTCTTGGAGCCTAGACCGTCCTGATGCTGTTGTCAACCCCTATGACACACCTCCTGATCAGAACCAGCAGACAGGACCTGCCCTCTCTCAACACACACCTGGAAGACACCTTGCTCCTCACAGTCCCATGAGCACCAGGAAGAAGAACATCCCTAAGTACTCAAACTTTCAGAGCAGGGAGTTGGAACCCACAGAGGCTGAGGACCAGGAACTCTCTGAATTGGACTCACTTTACCAGTCTAGTCTGCAGGCTGGCCCGGGTCCTGGCCGAGCCCTGCGTGGTACCAGCTCACCTGCTGTTTCGAGACCAGGTAAATTAACATCTTAAATTGCCTCACACTAAGTGAGTTTACATGCACTTTAAAAGTTCTGTCTCTGCCAGACTACAGGTGCGGTCACATTTACTGTACCATTGTTTGGCCACTTTTCACAGGCGAAATGTAGTAATTTCAATAGGAACCATGCAATCAGGCATTTTGCATGAAGGCAAAATATTTCCCCACTTAGGTTTCGCATTGGTTTCAAGACGGCCATGTGAATCCCCTGGCATCAAGATGCACACAGTGGCGTAGCGGACAGGCACGCACTGTGAGGGGGCCACCGCGTTAACCTCTCCGTGCTGGGGTGCGTCGAAAGACGATGATCATGTATCGACGATAGCCAGAGATATTGTCAAAAGCATCAAATATTGGCAAATTTAAGAGCATTTGGCATTTACAGCTAATGTAGGCCTGTTACATTCTTATTATTATTATTAGGTTACTTTTATTATTAAATTAATATTACAATTAATTTCCCCCGCAATAATTTCATAGCGCATTACCGAATAACTGATGCACTGTGAGGATAATAAAAGATCCAGCTATTAGCTTACTCCTCATTGAAAATGATTTTAAAAAGGTCTTTCAAAACAGGTTTATTATACAATGAATTATAGGCCTATAATTAAAACTATTAAAGGCACAATATGTAAGATTTTTTTATTAAAATATCCAAAAATCACTAGAACAGTGTTATATATTTTGCTGACTTGTGTACTTACATTATCCCGAATGTTTTGAAGAATGTTTAAATCCAGAGAAATAGCCATTTTAAATAGTGGCTCGTCCCTGGCCATTGCGTCGTCTGCCAATCACGTCATACACCCTCGATTTCTGGTTTTGTTTTGTAGAAAACATGTAAACACCAAAGACGCTTTGATATGTTGTGCGTTTTAATAGACCGGTGACGACCGCACAGAGTAGCATTATAACAGAACTTTCAAATGTATCTAGTATGATAAAACAGCGATGCTTTACCCCACATACGCACGACCTGAAGGAGTGGAAACGGTCGACTGTGGCATAATAAAAGCTCCGCTGCTTTCGAGCCATGTGTCACGCTCATTCAGTGGCCTCGTTTTGCTTCGACGGCTCTGCTTAATACTACGACGTTAATAAATCTTTAATACATTAGCTCATCCATGAACATTATTTCTGCCCGAGTCCTGTCAGATTGCATCGGCTGTGGGGATGAAGACCACAACTCCCATGATTCCACACTCCATCACGGCATCATCAAGCTACGCCTTTGTTTCTTTGGGTGCGTCTCAATCAGCTCCCTTGTTCAGTAGTCAGGGCACTGATCAGGGAGTCGGCCATTTTAAGGGCTGTCTCAATCGCAAAATCCTTCCAGTGCACTGGAACGTTCACTCCCTGAAAAATCCCACTATGCACCACAAAAACTAGGGAGCATCGGCGCTCACTATGCTCCCTTACCGGAAACAACGTCACATTTCTTAAGCGTGAAACATAAACCACACAAGTCAACGCGATAAATATAATGACACGCGATAGAAGATTTGAAAAGACAGACCTTTTTTTAGTATATTTCAACATAAACACATCGCTAGACAGGTGATGAACACATCTAATTATCATAATATTCGGCTGAAATGTTGTAAGAACATGTAACAGAACGATGTGTTTAAAGAGAATAAAAAATAATATATAAAAATTAGATTGGTCCTGCATGTTGTTTATTAATTCCAGTGATGACGTTCTACTATGTTGTCCGTTGACGCTGTACATAATCATGTCACTGGAATTCGAGTGATCACTGTCCCAACGTGCAGTGAGTCAGGGAACTTACCAGTGACCGAATTTGTGTACACGATCTACTGATTCACGAGATCGGGAGCTAGGGAGCTGATTGAGACGCACATATCGTTTGTTTTGAATGTGCACCCTCTATCGGCGAAAACTTACATATTGTGCCTTTAACACCGCAGTCATCAATGAAAATTAAGAGTGGCTTTATTTCAAGCACCGACTTACAAAAACATCCCTTTTAACACAAAATGCGTTTCTTTCTTCTCATTTTTTTTCACCATGTTCGGGCCACAAGAGAAATATTAAGGGAGTAAATTTAAAACGGTTATATATAGTTATCAGCATATGAAGTAGATTTGTCTCTCGTCGTCTCTGAGAGAATATGTGGCGTTAATATTGCATCAGATGCTGAAAGGTCCATCGGTTTTTACGTTCACTTTCTGGTGAATTGACTGAGATTAAGATGTTCACCGGCATTACTTTTGTGCAAAGTTTGCATGTTGCTTGTGTGATATCCATTGGCTTGCCTTCATGATTTATAACATAAATATTTACAATATTGCAACGTAACCCCCCCACCCCCCACCCCACCACCATCAGTGTTACAAGTACCCCAGGCACATCATTTTACCATTTTTGTAGCATAAACACCATCAAACTGAGAGAGATTTGGATCTTTCATTGTTTCTCAATGGCGCTAAAACCTAAAGATGCCAGAGTTCCAGTCCCTGTGCAACTGATACTCAACTGCCATTGGCTTATCTGCGTTCAAGGGGAGGGGCTTATCAATAGGTCAGTTAGACTACAGTTGGCCTTGAAGTTGTATGCTTGCACCGAAATATGCATTTACGTATTGTCATGTATACTTGGATAGACAGCTGAACACTGTAACTGTAAACACAAAAACGTACCTATAAATATAAATATTGTAAAATGTTTTTGTTTATGATGCCTAATACAGTTAGCAAATTGAACCATACATTGAGAAAATGTCATTGTTGTCAATCCTAATTTTCTCGGACAGTACCTCCTGCTGCACGAAAGCTGCTCACTGGAGTCGGACGCTCTCGGACCCCCACGGCTGAACTTGAGAGAACCGCTTATGGACCACCAGGTTGTTGCAGCCCTACTGGATATATGAACATGGTAAGATATGTGGTGCTTATATAGGTCTGATTGCAAAGCTCTCTCAAATATTTATTGTTCAAATTGGTATTGGCATTGGTATTTTCTTTCTCTGAATTTTTCATCGTGGAGTCTCATGCTATATCCTTCAGACTTGTCCACAAGTACCTAATATTATAATTTTGTCTATATGACAAGTAACTATGCACCCGTCTGCCGTTGCCAATGTCACTTCTAGTCTAGTTCACCCTGCAGAACTTGTATTGCAGACATTTCTGGATATTTAACCTGCTAAATTACATTTACATTTACATTTAGTCATTTTGCCAACGCTTTTATCCAAAGCGACTTACAATTGGGGAATACATAAAGCGATTCTTCTTAAAGAGGCAAACAGACACAGGAAGTGCTTGAAATACCAAGTTTTAGGCATTGTTCAAATAAGTACAAGCTAGAAAAGGGAAGAAAGAAATAAAGAGAAAAAGTTTTTTTTTTTTTTTTTTTTTTAAGATGAAGTCAAGTAGCGTTTAAAGAGATGAGTTTTCAGCTGTCGCTTGAAAATTGTCAGGGATTCAGCATTCCGGATAGGGGTGGGATAAATGTCTCTCGGGCATCTGTTGGTATCTCAGATTGCATTCTAAATATCCACACAAAGCAATCGTCACTCACATGAACAAGCACTGATTTGCTTCTGATTTCAGGTTTTCATCAGTGGTCTCCACTAATAGTCAGAGAGAGAAAAATCAGGGATAAAACTGTGTAGCATGTGGGCTTCATTAGATGTTGCCCGCCATTAGTCTAAATAATCTAGGTTTTATTTACTTTGTTTGTTTATTATTTGCTGGTTCTTTAATGAGGGATGGCTGTCTCTTAGTTTTTTTTGTTATGGCTGGTTTCTTTCCACATCATAGCTTGTTTTTCATACAGCGCACAATCTGTTAGCACATGTTGATTTTGTTTGGGTGTTGTGTCTAGTTTCTGCCAGACTTTGTTTTTTGCTGCAGTAACTCTTTGTTCTCTGTAGCCCCTGTCAGTGGCCCATCAAGAGCCTCAGTCAGGAGAGGAAGACCAGTATGATGCGGATCACCTGCGCCGTATTGCTCGCAGCCTGAGTGGAACGGTCATTGGCCGTCGCCAAAACCGTCTTGCCGTCTCCCGAAGCTTCGTAAGTATCCCACACATATCTCTCAATTACACTAAAAGTAACTCTTACTATCTTATTTAATCTAAGGAGCTAACTAATGGCTAAAATATGAGTGAGGGGCCAAAGGAGGGGGGAGGAATGAGATATCTGCCCTAGAAACCTGATAAGAGCACTGTCACCTATGCAGAAGAGTGCTAACACACAGCTACTGCCACTTCAGCCTGATCTGTGTGTGCTGCCTGTCCCTTGTCAATCACTGCTGAGTTTTATGTCATTTGATGTACACTCTTACGTCTTACGTCTAGTTATTTTCATAGCAGATGCTGTCTATCAAAGCTATTTTGTGTGTATAGTGTGTTGTTTTGGCATTCATTCATTTTTAATATATAATGTATGCCAGAAATATATGAATGCATAACTGTTATGTCACATGACATCCACCTGGCATGCAAGGACACTCAAATACACATGCACAACTTCTCATTGTCTTGCTGAGTCATACTGCCATCCTGTGTCCACATGCTGTAGCTTCACTACATTTGAAAAGAGGCCTGGTGTGTCTCATTTATAAAGACATGCATGTAAGGCATCTTCCCAAATGCATTCGTATGCACTTTAAAAATGTTCCCTAATCCTTCTCGCTTTATTAAAGTCTTCTGTACATAAGTGAGAGTATATGAAAAAGGTAATGCAACAAATTTGGTTACTAGATTTTAGTTTCTGGCCATACTGTATATATACACATATTTAATTCATTATCCTGTCAGTGATCCATTTTTATCAATTTTTCATTCATCTCATTTACATGCACATTATTTTTCAGACCATGTTCTCATTAAACCTTTTAAACTCATTAAACCATTAAACTCTGAAATGTGGTTTACCCACCCCAAAGAGTGTAAAGCTATTTGAGAGTTGCAAATAAACAGCACTTTTTTTGCACTATTCACCAGTCCCCAATTTTGCCATTTATTATGTTGTGTTCTTAATCATTTAATTAATAATTACTTAATAATATAACTTTTTTTAAATATTGATTTATCTTTCTTGTAGATATTAAAAATATATATATATATATATAAAATGTAATGTAAATAAAAATATTATATATGTTTGTTTGATGATGCATGAATAATAGTATTTTAGTATATTATTGTGCATGCAATTGTGGTTACTCATTTTATTCATTTGTTCACTCACTGACTCACTGACTTTTTGCTATTGCATCACTGGAAATGATTAGAAAATTATGTCAGTATGCACGGGCATAACAGTGCATGATCATAAAAATAGCTTGTATGGCTGCTTTTTACTTGCAGTTCGTGTAAGAACATTTTCACATCAGTTTCTGCTTTTAAAGGGATAGTTAACCCACAAATGAAAATTATGATCATGTATTCACCCTCACTTCAGTCCTAACCTGTATGACTTTCTTTCTTCTGCTGAACACACAAGAAAATATTTTCAAGAATGTTTTAACTGCTTTGGTCTATACAATAAAAGTAAAAAAAACAATCCAAAATATCTTGTTTTGTTCCACAGAAGAAAGAAATAAAGTCATTCAGGTTTAAAACCATAAGAGAGCGAGTAAATGATGACAGAGTGCTCATTTTTTGGTGAACTATCCCTTTAATAAATCTCAATTTTTCATCATTTTTGACTTGGGATCAAATCTGATCTTATGTGCATTTTATAAATGAGGCCCCTGATTCCTTTCGTGCCTTACTTTTGTGCTCCCCATCTCTTCCCCTCTCCCCATCCTCCCCCTCTCTTCTCCTCTTTTTCTCTCTTTTGACTGAATGCACTTGTGTTTTTCCTCGGCCTTGTGCATATCAATGTATGTGTTGTGTGTGTACCTAGCTGGGGGACTCCGGGGTTACGTCATATCACAACTCCATGTACTCACCTAGTTGCCTTCAGTTTCCATTGTCTCATTCAGACCTCCATCTGCTCCAACCCAGCTATCTTCATCTCCTTCCATCATCTTCACCCCCATCTCAGCAGCCTGGGCCTTCCAGAGAGGCCCCAGGTAAAGCTCACTCTCGTTTTCCACATACATAACCACCTCATCCATTCAAAGGGCCATTTCCCTCTTGTTCCGCATTCATGTTTCTGCCATTGCATTGCAATTGAGTCCAGGTGCCAGTGGCCCCCCCACTAAACAGTCTGCATTCGCTTCATTTTCGTTTCCTGCTGTTGAAGGAGCTCCTCTTTCGTTGTTGCTTTTTTTCTTTGATTGGTCTGGTTCCTGTCCTTCACACTCCATCCTACCCCACTGCAGGACGTCTCCAGAGGTTCTCCGAGTTTCTGGCTGTGTTTGACCGGCGTCAAGCTCTCTCCAGTGGGAAGCACTACGGTCCAGCAGTGAGGTGTATTGGAAGACATCCTCTCTGAAGTTCTCACCCAACCAATTGGCTTTGGACCAGGTCTTCCAGCCCTGGAACATTTCCACAGATGTGTTTGTTCCCTTCTGCACACCCCATCCCATTCTCTTCACAGTTTCCTGGAGAACTGGAAGGAGCACGTTCAGAGACCTGATGCCATCCTCAATCACCCTGCACTCTGTATTGTTCCTGGGATGATGCCCTTCTGTTACCCTGCTATAGTCGGTAAATCTTTCCATGCAGAAGCCCCTGAAGCTCGATCCACAGCATGATGGAAAGAGACACCAAAACCAACTTTTTTTTTATTTACGAGCACTGGAATGGCGTGATTCTTTGGGGCTGAGGTGTGTGTGTATGACTAACCTATAGTCAGACTTGCAGCATGCAATGATAGGAGCGTGGGGTCCAGATTTGGACTCCCGCAGTGAGCCATCCAACCCAGAGCACTTAACTTAATTAACCCCAACATTCAATTAATTGCAGAGGAGAAGCATACGGTACCTCCTTGCTGCACTAGACGGTAAATGTGTGTTTGTGTGTATGCGTGTGTGCATGTGTTGGGTGTTAAAAGGGGAGGGGCTTATTGTAACCCTGCCCTCATTTATACTACAGGTCAAAAGTTTGGAATGATTAAGATTTTATTTATATATTTTTCATAAGATGTCTCAAGTGATCAAAAATACAGTAAAAACAGTAAAATTGTGAATATTATTACAATTTAAAGCATTGTTTTTCATTTGAATATATTTCAAAAGAAATATTTAGCAGTTTGACAGTTTTTAACATTGATTATAATAGTATTAATAAATGTTTCTTGAGCACCAAATCAGCATATTAGAACGATTTCTGAAGGATCATGTGACACTGAAGACTGGAGTAATGGAATAAATTACACTTTAAAATATATCTAAATATAAAACAGTTATTTTAAATTGTAATAATATTTCATAGTGTTTTTATAGTATTTTTAATCAAATAAATGCAGCATTAGTGAGCTTACGAGATATTAAAAAAATTGTAATTATTCCAAACTTTTGACCGATAGGGTATTAAAAACCATTCTTTACCCTTCCTCCTCGCCTGTTCCACAGATACAAGTTCTCAGCAAACCAACGTCCCAGAATCGTCATCGTTTTGCTGAACATTTTTTCCCAAGCAACTCTCCTGCGAACGTTTTTTGGTAGCGGGATGGGTTAATGTCATGTACGTGTAGATGCTAAGTACTTCAACCTGTACTAAGTGAATCGAGATGTTTTGTACGGTGTCATCTCTCAGCTCTGGTGCTTTTTGTCGGAGCAGGCATGTAAATCTGTGGCCCTGGCACAGAGCGTGGAATGAGACTGTCTCTTCTAACCTTTTTCCTCCTATTTCTCTGATACGGGCATTCCCTGTAGCACACAGCTGTTTTGTGTCTCGTGTTACAGGCAAAGACTGTGTACATGTTTGACTGAACATACACTAACAAAGGAATTTATTGTTAATAAAAAACTACAACATCTTAAGAAATATACAGAGGAATGGAGAAACTACGCAATGACATTATGGAATGTTAATCAATTCTAGTGGTAATAATTATTATCTGCATTAAGACAAGTATAGTACACTTCAGAAGTGTAAAGCTGGAGAAAAACTGCTATTTTAATTCCATTGACAGTTCTCCCATTTATACAGGGAGATATGCCAAGTTAAGCTTCCTTTTTATTGTTTATTTTACTTGATTCAATTTTTTTTTTTTACTTGCAGTGACACTGAAACCACAGCTATGAGTCTGGCACATGATGGATCTTCAGGCCTGTAATGATTGAGGGGTCTCATTCCATTCGATTTTTGTAGAATCTATATTATTTCTAGATTTTACTTTAATCAACACAGCTGAAGAATGTTCGGCCCTGATAGCATAGATAGCCTGCAATTTGGACAGTATTATGTATATGGGGCCTTGAGCAAGGAATGCTTTCATACTGTTATTCAAATAAACGTAATAGGATTTGTGATATATATTAACGATACTCCAATACTGATCAACAGATGTGTCATATCACAATATAATATGATTAATGCAGTATTTAACTTTTCATTCTAATCGTATTGTGCTGTGATATGTATTATTTTTTTAATTAAAAGCCTTTGAGTGCTGAAATTAAAATGATTATAAAAGAAATAACGTACAGAGATCTAGATCTTATTTAACTTTGTCTTAACCAAAGATTGGCTCTAACACAAAGATATGTTTTTTTTTGTCATTTATTCATCTTTCCTTTCATTTAAAGGATTTTTGAGAATGTAGCAAAGGTGGTGTATGAGTATGCTATGCAAAATGCTCTCTCCTGAACTACCAGCAAAGAGTCAGACTGGGACAAAATCAAATACTTTTTCTTTTTTTTCCCTATATACTGAGGAAGAAAATGATTTCCTGCTGAATTGTTGAATCTTTACTTATTAATGTCTGTACAGTTAACAGCCTTTGAATGCACATTGTAGCTGGTGGGAGGAGGATTTCTCAAAGATGAAATGGCATTTCAAAGTTTTCCATTGGGGACTCATTTGTAAATGCTTGAGGTTGAGTGAACTTGTATTTTTGCAATAAAGTTATTACCAATGCACTCCAGCAGGGGCGCTGCACAAACGCCTACACTC